CTGTAAATGAAGATGTGTACATGGACACATAGGAAAACATTAGGGAGAGTTCAGGGGCTGCTGAAAAAAAACGCTGAACAGCTCCTAAATGTGAATTTATCAGCTGCAGTGTACATGAGCCCTAAATCCCAACTCCTCTTTTTTTCCTCTAGAAATGGTTCTTTAGCCAGTTGTCACTGAAACAGGGCACCCTATTGGAAGATTTCCCCACTATTCTTCTACCAGCAGTATGGGATTTTTGATTTTTCAAGTCCTGGTGACAGTGTTCACTAGGACAAATAGGGGGACAGAATGGTAACTCTCACCAGTTGCCTCGGCTGGTGAAAATACCCGGTCGTCTTAGGTTTTGAGTAGCATGTGACCTCTTCTCATGAGACAGTGCTCAGGTCTAGCAGCCAAAACCTACACATGAATACTGTCATGTCCCAGGGGGAGTGTGATCACGTCTTCCCCTAGTATCCAACAATAGTCAACATTGGGGATATTAGTGTTGACTGCAATGCAGGAAAAAGCATCAGGGAAGCACTGGCAAGGTGAGTGTAAGTTAGAGGAGCCCCTTTGCAAAGACTGTCACTTGACCTGAAGGCTAGGTTCACATATGTGCGGGTGGTGCTGCTGCGGATCTGCACAAAAATCCGTGCAGCCGCACCACCCACACAGAAGAATGCGGACCCGCAGACGGGTGCGATTAATTCTAATGGCACGCCGCCTGCACTGGAAATCGCAACAGCACTGGAAACCGAGGTTCCCGTGCGAGCTGCTGTTTCCAAAGAAGTGCATGGACTTCTTCACTGTGTGCCCCGTGGGCACGGGAGTTCATTTAAATGAATGGGCTCTCCTGCCCACGCAAAACGCAGCCCGCAGGAATGCACATATGTGAACCAGGGCTAAAGGGGCAAGATGACAGAGACGAGATTTACTAAAACTGGACCACTGAAAATCTGGTGCAGCTGTGCATTTGAGCCAATCAGCTTCTAATTTCAGCTTGTTCAATTAAACTTTGACAATAAACCTGATTGGTTTTATGCAGAGCTGCACCAGATTTTGCAGGCTCCAATTAAAGTAAATCCCCACCAGTTTCTCTTTAAAGTTACTGAAAGGTCTACTTTAATTATTTTTTTGGAACCAAAAGCCTTAAAAGAAAATTATCAGTGGTGGGTTTTTGGCACTAAAAACCAGAATGCCATCAATTTTTCTCTAACGGCCTACAGACAACTGGAGCAAACAGCAACATTCAGTCCTTTGGCTCAATAAACAGTCTAGTGGTTGCCCTTCTAAAGTTTATTGCAGATTAACTTGGATGGGACTGTCAGGGACCATCACGACGCATGGGTCTGCACATGCGTAGGTGTCTGTCAAGACATGCAGGAAGCAGGGCACTAGGACCCAGGCGCACCCATCACCTATGACGGTGCTGGGCAGGCACTAGGACCTAGGCTGCACCTGTCAGGTGCAGGGCGGGCTACTTAAACCAGCCCTGCACAGACACAAGTTGCCGTATGATCTGATCTTGTTCCTGTGTTCCTGTATTGCCGTTGTTTGAGATTCGTTGCTGACCTGCCTGGACCTGACCCCTGCTGACTTCTCCTGCTCTGACCCCTGGCTAAGTTCGACCTCACTTTTGGATATCCCTACCTGATCTGAACTACTGGTACCGACCCCGGCGAGTGACCTGACTATCCTTCTGCCTGCTGCCTTGTACTACACTGACCCCTCTGTTAACGACCTGGCTCGTTTGACCATGCTATTGCTCAGCCATCCATCCGACCCGCACGGATTAGCTGCTACTCTCCAGACCTGTCTGCCTCTTCACGTCAGGCTCTCTACCAGTCATTACCTCTGGTGATTCCTCTACCTCAGGTGGGTGTACTCAGGGGCCACGACCTGGTCACTGTCTGCTCCAAGCCCATCCCCACCATCAGGGGCTCTGGTGAACAAGCGGACTGGGGCTTAGACTCCGCGCCCTGGGTAATCCTGTCCTGTGGACTGCTAGAGTACACCAGGTGGTCCATAACAGGGACTTTGGGAAACTATGGGGTACTCCAGGACATTAAACAGGAATGTGAGGACACTCTTTCCTTTGCAGCTATTTCTCAGAACAGTTCCTTCACCATTAGTACATAAAGTGGACAGCACTGGGACACCATCAGCAATGCCTCAGGCTAGGAAAGCCTTAAATGTAGTGCAACAGGGTTTAAAGACAGAAACAGTCACATCCCTGGGACTTGGATATCTCCCTCCAGACCCAGGATGTCTCCTTGGTGAAACCTTTAGATTGGATCCTCTATGAAACACCTCTTTTAGCTTGTAAACAACTTTCAGCATAATAGACCCCCCCAGCTATGATCAGCTGAGACCTTTATGAAACTAGCAGAATCTTCAGGTGGACTGCCAGAAAGGGCAACAGCCCTTCTACTTAGGATCCTCTCCTCCTGGGGAACAATAGGGCAGCTCCAGGCTTCAGACTATTTATGCTCACTCCCAGCCACCATCTGAGCTTCATCTACCCCACTACTTTCCAGAACTTTCCAAAAGGCAGGGGGAAGCAGCCAAACCCACAGCCAGTGAATCCCTATCTAGGAGGGTGCTACACTTTTAAAGCAACATTCGCATTATTTCCTGTGCCCGCATGCTTCCAAAATCACCAGTTTATTCTCTCATGAACATCTGTCAAAACTTTGTAAGGACTGCACGTTCTCTAAAGAAAATCCGGCATGTTCAGCGCCTTATCTGTTCCAAGCCATCTCTTCCTGTTGTGGCGCTGCATTATAATAATGGCTTTCTGATTTGAGCCGGTGTCAAAGCAGATTTTCAGAAGTTTGCTCATCTCTAGTTACAAACCCAACCTCATTAAAATAATGAAGAGCGCCCTGGGAAAACCGGGACACTCCAGTTCTTGAGAGCAAGCTTCTACGAAAATAGGAATGAGTAATATCAATTTGTCTTCCGTGTGAGGTGTCAACTTCTGATGCCGAAAGGTTAGGACATTTGTCTACATTTTCTCCCAAGACAAGCTTAAATGGCTGCTATTTGTACTTGTTCTTTTCAGACAGATCGTGACAGAAGAAAATGTGTGACGACGGAAACATTTCGTGTTTCTGACTAATTGGATTTGATTTCTTGTTAAACGATATTCTTTATTAGGCTTCTTGTTTACAAAATCATTGGTGACCAATGTCACACAGATAAGCGTCATGGCCTCCGAAATGTCACACAGGCATGGTTAAATCAATCATCCATAGGTAAAACAAAGTTCAAAAGTCAGATTAAAGCTTCCTTTAAGAAAATCAAAGAGATCTTTATTCTAAATTGTATCCATGTAGCTAAAAATAAAAAATAGACAATCATATTAAATAATATGTAAACCCTAATAATGATCTTCTCGTATTTGTTCCTTTTGGCCTGCTGAATATGCAATCAAAAGCATTTTGCTAAAGATGTTCAAAAATACCATGTTAGACATTCAGAGCTGTCCTGTGCCTTCTGTGCGATTCTTACGTTCTCTGTAAAGAGTTTCCTTGATGTTATCCTGGGACTTTGTTGTGGAGAATAGAATAGGGGGGAGAATGGGGAGAGTTTAGTGTTACTAAGCCCAGGACCCTGCATTCTCTCTTTCTGGTCTCCCACCGTACACACTACATGGAAATGCAATTATTTTAGTAAATATAAACTGCTAAATACCTGTTCTCATCAGCAGTTAGAGCAGTCTTGTGACTTCTATCAGTGTCCAGCAGAGCAGTGGTTAAAGCGTGTAGATGAGTTTTCTTTCTGCTCTAAGAAGATGCAGAACTCCTGACCTCTTTCTGGACCTTGCTGATTGGCCCTCTGCTGATCACATGCACTCTCCCAAGAAAAAAAAAACTTATCTAGAAATATACACCAAACTGAGCATGTGCAGAGTGTCTCCACACGATATGTATTATCAGGAGATAAGAGGGGGAGACTGGAAGAAGGGTAGGATCAAAGAAGTCAGGATCAAACAGCATTTTTACACAGTGCAGAGGATTAACTCCTTAGGTTCCACAGTGAGTATATCAAGCATGCTTTACTGCATATACAGACGAATTGTACTGTTGTGGGCAGGGGCGGACTTTGTGGACTTTAGAGGCTCTGCGACAAAAATATTTTTAAAAACACTTTATTATAGGAATGTATACCATACACATCAGTTACATACATGTTGTTCCGCTAAGAAGACTCCCCATATAGGGGGGTAGGGTATTCTATGCTGGTTACAACATTCTTCAAGTATTTTTCTTATTAAAATTGACACAAAGGTACCATATCCCGGTAAAGGTATCAAAAGACCAGGGGCGGACTGACAACTCATGGGGCCCCCGGGCAATAGGGGATCATGGGGCCCCTGTGTCCTTGCCCAAACTCAAAAAAGCCTATGAAAATTGATGGCAAGATGAATGCAGCATGTTATTATAAAATACTGGCAGACAATTTGCATTCTAATGCATGAAAGCTGTGCGTGGGCCTCTCTTGGACTTTACAGTACGACAATGACCCTAAGCACAAGGCCAAGTTGCCCTCCAGTGGTTTCAGCAGAAAAAGGTGAAGGTTCTGGAGTGGCCATCAAACTCTCCTGACCTTAATATCAATTAGCCACTCTGAATAGATCTCAAACGTACATGACATGGAGGCATTTTGCCAAGAGGAATGGGCAGCTATACCACATGCAAGTGTCAGGAATCCCAGAGATCGCCACGGCGCACGAGTCTGCACAAGCGTAGGATCCCGACAAGACATACAGGCAGTTGGGCACTAGGACCCAGGCGCGCCTGTCACCAATGACGGCCGGGCAGGCACTAGGACCCAGGCACGCCTGTTGGAGCTGGACGGGCTATTTAAACCAGCTTGTGCAATGCTCACATTGCCCTATGGCAGTGATGGCGAACCTTTTTGAGCCCGAGTGCCCAAACTGCAACCCAAAACCAACTTATTTCTTTCAAAGTGCCAACACTGCAATGAAACCTGAATATCGAGCTTTTGGTTTAGAAAAAACAACTCGTACAGTAGTGCAAACTAATTAACAGTACAGGGATGACCAGAGACTGCGGACACAGTACAGGGATGACCAGAGACTGCGGACACAGTACAGGGATGACCAGAGACTGTGGACACAGTACAGGGATGACCAGAACTGCGGACAGTACAGGGATGACCAGAGACTGCGGACACAGTACAGGGATGACCAGAGACTGCGGACACAGTACAGGGATGACCAGAGACTGCGGACACAGTACAGGGATGACCAGAGACTGCGGACACAGTACAGGGATGACCAGAGACTGCGGACACAGTACAGGGATGACCAGAGACTGCGGGCACAGCACAGGGATGACCAGAGACTGCGGACACAGCACAGGGATGACCAGAGACTGCGGACACAGCACAGGGATGACCAGAGACTGCAAACACAGCACAGGGATGACCAGAGACTGCGGACACAGTACAGGGATGACCAGAGACTGCGGACACAGTACAGGGATGACCAGAGACTGCGGACACAGTACAGGGATGACCAGAGACTGCGGACACAGTACAGGGATGACCAGAGACTGCGGACACAGCACAGGAGATGACCAGAGACTGGGGACACAGCACAGGAGATGACCAGAGACTGGGGACACAGCACAGGAGATGACCAGAGACTGGGGACACAGCACAGGAGATGACCAGAGACTGGGGACACAGCACAGGAGATGACCAGAGACTGGGGACACAGCACAGGAGATGACCAGAGACTGGGGACACAGCACAGGAGATGACCAGAGACTGGGGACACAGCACAGGGATGACCAGAGACTGGGGACACAGCACAGGGATGACCAGAGACTGGAGACACAGCACAGGGATGACCAGAGACTGGGGACACAGCACAGGGATGACCAGAGACTGGGGACACAGCACAGGGATGACCAGAGACTGGGGACACAGCACAGGGATGACCAGAGACTGGGGACACAGCACAGGGATGACCAGAGACTGGGGACACAGCACAGGGATGACCAGAGACTGGGGACACAGCACAGGGATGACCAGAGACTGGGGACACAGCACAGGGATGACCAGAGACTGGGGACACAGCACAGGGATGACCAGAGACTGGGGACACAGCACAGGGATGACCAGAGACTGGGGACACAGCACAGGGATGACCAGAGACTGGGGACACAGCACAGGGATGACCAGAGACTGGGGACACAGCACAGGGATGACCAGAGACTGGGGACACAGCACAGGAGATGACCAGAGACTGGGGACACAGCACAGGGATGACCAGAGACTGGGGACACAGCACAGGGATGACCAGAGACTGGGGACACAGCACAGGGATGACCAGAGACTGGGGACACAGCACAGGGATGACCAGAGACTGGGGACACAGCACAGGGATGACCAGAGACTGGGGACACAGCACAGGGATGACCAGAGACTGGAGACACAGCACAGGGATGACCAGAGACTGGGGACACAGCACAGGGATGACCAGAGACTGGGGACACAGCACAGGGATGACTGCTGACCTTTGGGGAGGGAGGGGGAGCGGGTACCTGAATTTGACAGGTACCCGCTCTTACTTCCGCAGAGTTTTTTTTTTTATCTTACCTGTTCCTCGATCCAGCCGCGCGCTGTCTTCCCGGCTTCTGTAGTGTGGGCGCTCGTCGGACAGCCGGATGCCCAGTGCGCATGCGCGAGAAGCGCTGCGCTTTGTGATTGGTCCGGCGGCTTCTGGGATCTGTCATGTGGCCCAGGTACCGCCTTACCATTCACAAGGAGCACTGCTTCTTGTGCATGCGCACTTGGGACCCGGCTGTCACGCACACTACAGCCGGGAAGACAGCGCGCCGCTGGATTCTCCTGGCGTGCCCACAGATAAGGCTCGGCGTGCCGGCTGTGGCACGCGTGCCACGGGTTCGCCACCACTGCCCTATGGTCTTCATTTCCTGTTCCCTGCTCGTCTGTTACTGCGCGAGATACCTTGTTGCCGACCCTGCTTGATCCTGACCTCTGCTGACTGTCTCCTGCTCTGATCCCTGGCTCGTCTGACTATTCTTTTGCTTACTCCTGATTACCTGACCTCCTGTTGCTGAAACCTGGCTTGTGACCTGACTACTCTCTGTCCGCTGCTCTGTACCGTTCGCGACCTGGTCTCAGTCTGCTCCAAGTCCATCCCCACCACCAGGGGCCCTGGTGAATAAGCAGATTGGGGCTTAGACCCCGCGCCCTGGGGAATCCCGTTCTGTGGGTTGCTAGAGATACCGCCGGGTGGATCGTGACAGCAAGAATTCAGGGCCTCATAGACAACTTTTATAAAAGACTGCATGCTATCATTGATGATATAGCACCCTCCTAATTAGCTAAGGGGAGCTAGCCGAATATATTTTTAGTTAGAAGGGCTGGCAGCCTGGGTAATAGTCAGCTGGGTCAAATTTGGGTCAGGGATGAGAGGCTCTGCAGACCAGTTCCTTGATACCTCCTCCAGCTCTGGAATCTTGAAGAAGATTCTAGAAGTAGTGGGTGGGGGTGAGGAGGGGCTGGTCTGCATACTCAAAGGACTCTGGCCAGTTTCCAAGCAAGAGGCTTGGCACGGACCAGAGCAGCCCTTAACTCCTTGGTGCCGGCGCCTCCCGGCCCTTTAAGGGTTTCAGAAGCCGGGAGGCAGGGTGGGGTTTATGTGATCGCCGTGACACGCCATCACGGCAGTCACATGATTGGGAAAGGTCTCGATCGAAAGAGGAGATCGGGACCTTTCCGTAAGTACTGGATATGTGTGCTGGGAGCGTGCTCTCAGCACATATGTTCTTTTTTAATAGAACGCAAATGTGTGGCCGCTCGGCATCTAGGCCCAGATGCTGGGAGGCCGCACATTTGTGTTCGGCTGGCGTGAAGAGGTTAAGTATGACTGAGCCTGCTCAGTAGCAGGAGACTTCGGTGGAAGATGTGAGGAAGCTGAGATGCAGGAGCCTGGGGGGGGGGGCCTGGTAGGAAGCAGCCTACCTACCTACAAGCTGGAAAGGAGGATCACTCACCTCACTGCCCCCAATGCAAGGACAACCTGTAGAGCCAGAAAAGGAGCCAGCCCAGGGGAAGGCCTGAAGGCAGCCACCTACCTAAATCAGCTTGCAGGACTGAAACTGAGTGAGTAGTCCTACACCTCCTGGGCCAGGTAAGGGGAAAAATGCATTCTGATGGGAAACCTGATTAGCTCCTTACCCAGGACTTTTTCATTTAAAGCGACAGGGCCGGATTCCCTTGCCCAGGGATTTCCTCAGGAAGCTGGATAAGAAGAGGATTATCAGGAATCTGGGGTGGTACACCAGGAGAGGCTGGAGAGCTCTCCCAGAAGAGTTTCTGCTGTGTAAAGACTTGTACATAGTTGCTAAGGAGTTTATCCTCGGTTTGCAGTTCCATTGGGCATCCCTACCTCCCCTTACCCCATCCAAGTTCAACATCCCTTAAAAAAACCAAGCTAAAGGACTGTTTACTGCCTCTGAATACAAGTCCTAGGAATTGTGTGTTTTCTGGCTGTGCAGGACTATAAGGGGGCCTAAATGTTCAGCAACTCATACGAGGGTAGTGCTACAATGATAAAGGGGGCAATACACAGTATTCAGAACTAAAGGTATGCAGATTTTTGAATGGGGTCATTTCATTTGTTTTGTTTTATGATTGTGCCATTCTGTTATGACCTACAGTTGAATATGAAACCCATAAAAAAATCAAAGGAATGTGTTTTGCTTCCTTATGTTTTCTTTAAAAATGGTGCATGCTGTATATTACCAAATCCCCAAGGGTATGCAAACTTTTGAGCACAACTGTAGATAGATAGATAGATAGATAGATAGATAGATAGATAGATAGATAGATAGTCAGATAGGTTGATTGATCTGATACTGGTGGTGTTGGTGCACAGTTGGGTAGAAGATGGTCTCTGTGTCCCTTCTGGGGAAAATTCCCCTCATTTCCAATACTGGGGTTGACTGGAGTTGGGCTTTATTCACAATCCTTCCAACCTTTCTTCATTTTGAAATTCCTCCTTAAAGATTTATTCAAGAATGGTCTCCCAGTAGCAATATTATTATATTACTTTATTTCTCAATGCATATGGAAGTCAACAAATCAGGAGTTGCGTAGGAGACAGGGCAAGGTACATCATGGGCCGGCACATGATGCAGAAGCTTTGTCACAAAACATGCGCCATCTATGACAGCGGCATAAATAAAACACACCTTGATTTCTAATGCTCCAAATGGTATGGATGGCTGCAGACATCTCCTTACTAGAGAGATGTGACACAACAGGCAAGTATGCAAACTCGGGCACCCACCCTCCCTGTGTCATGCTTCCTTATTGGACACTGCGCTGCCACCACTGAATGTAATTGCCTGGTGAATCATTCTATTTGGCATGGTACCAATACTCCAAGGGTATGCAAACTTTTGAGTACAACTATATATATATATATATATATATATATATATATATATACATACAGTGGGGATCGAAAGTTTGGGCACCCCAGCTAAAAATTTGTATTAATGTGCATAAAGAAGCCAAGGAAAGATGGAAAAATCTCCAAAAGGCATCAAATTACAGATTAGACATTCTTATAATATGTCAACAAAAGTTAGATTTTATTTCCATCATTTACACTTTCAAAATAAAAGAAAACAAAAAAATGGCGTCTGCAAAAGTTTGGGCACCCTGCAGAGTTAATATCTTGTACTGCCCCCTTTGGCAAGTATCACAGCTTGTAAAAGCTTTTTGTAGCCAGCCAAGAGTCTTTCAGTTCTTGTTTGAGGTATCTTTGCCCATTCTTCCTTACAAAAGTCTTCCAGTTCTTTGAGATTTCTGGGCTGTCTGTCACGCACTGCTCTTTTAAGGTCTATCCATAGATTTTCAATTATGTTGAGGTCAGGAGATTGTGAAGGCCATGGAAAAACCTTCAGTTTACACCTCTTGATGTAATCCCCCGTGGATTTCGAGGTGTGTTTAGGATCATTATCCATTTGTAGAAGCCATCCTCTCTTTAACTTCAGCTTTTTCACAGATGGCATCAAGTTACCATCCAAAATTTGCTGAAATTTTATTGAATCCATTTTTCCTTCTACTCGTGAGATGTTCCCTGTGCCACTGGCTGCAACACAACCCCAAAACATGATTGATCCAACTCCATGCTTAACAGTTGGACAGAGGTTCTTTTCATTAAATTCTGTGCCCCTTCTTCTCCAAACGTACCTTTGCTCATTCCGGCCAAAAAGTTCAATTTTAACCTCATCGGTCCACAGAACTTGTTTCCAAAATGCATCAGGCTTGTCTATATGTTCATATAAGTTCAAACAACGATTTTTGTGGTGAGGATGTAGAAGAGGTTTTCTTCTGATGACTCTTCCATGAAGACCATATTTGTACAAGTATCTCTTTATAGTGCAATAGTGTACCACAACTCCAGTGTCTGCCAGATCTTTCTGGAGGGATCGTGCAGTCAAACGTGGGTTTTGAATTGATTTTCTCACAATCCTGCGAGCTGTTCTGTCTGATATTTTTCTTGGTCTTTCAGATCTTGCTTTATCTTCCACTGTTCCTGATGACTACCATTTCTTAATTACATTTCGAACAGAGGATATTGACATCTGAAAACGCTTTGCTATCTTCTTATAGCCTTCTCCAGCTTTGTGAGCGTCAACTATTTTCAGTTTCAGTTTTCTACACAACTGCTTAGAAGAACCCATGGGTGCTGATTGTTGGGGAAAGGTCAGATGAGTCTGGGCATTTAAAAGCTTTGAGATTGACATCACCTGGTCTTTCCAGACAATGATTGAGAACAATCCATGACACTGGCAGGTCTCAGCTTGGCAAAGGGGGCAGTGCATGCTATAAATTCTGCAGGGTGCCCAAACTTTTGCAGACGCCATTTTTTTGTTTTCTGTTATTTCGAAAGTGTAAATGATGGAAATAAAATCTAACTTTTGTTGACATATTATAAGAATGTCTAATCTGTAATTTGATGCCTTTTGGGGATTTTTCCATCTTTCCTTGGCTTCTTTATGCACATTAATACAAATTTTTAGCTGGGGTGCCCAAACTTTCGATCCCCACTGTATATATATATACAGTTGCAAGAAAAAGTATGTGAACCCCTTGGGATTATGTGGAGTTTTGCATGAATTGGGCATAAAATGTGCTCTGAACGTCATCTAAATCACAACAATAGAAGAACACAGTCTGCTGAACATAATACTACACAAACATTAGATGTTGCCATGGTTTAATTGCACATAACATGTAAACATTCCCAGTGCAGGGAGGAAAAAGTATGTGAACCTTTGGACTTAATAACTGGTTGACCCTCCTTTGGCAGCAATAACCTCAACCAAACGTTTCCTGTAGTTGCAGATCAGACCTGCACAATGATCTGGAGTCATTTTGGACCACTCCTCTTCACAAAACTGTTTCAGTGTAGCAATATTCTT